TCTGCCTTTATGTCCAGGGAAACAATGGTGGTGGCATGTTGTTGCCAAACAGGTGAGACTGGTCCAGGGGAGGCTCACTTCCTTGGCCAGATGGTGGAGTACTAGAACTGTGTTAGCGTGGCACATTCAACCAGCCTTGCCTGTGGAGGAGGAGGAATTTTGCTGACTGGCACATCCCACATCTGGCAGCCCTCCCAGCCTCGGGACCAATGGCTTCTTGCGAGAAGCTGTAGCCCTTTCCGGCAGGCTTGGCACCTGCCCGCACTTGAGCGGTTGAGGCTTTGCTTCAACTTCTAATTTATGTTGCTGCCCTTCTCGGAGCATATCAGATCTTGATAGTTTTCTATTCACCTGACGTAGGTGCATCTGTTATGGCTGGCTTCCTCCCCAGGCACCTTTAGAGAGTGTGCCTGCATTTGCACCGGGAGCTCCAGGGCCCCTGCCACCCAGCCTGCAGTTAGCTGTGGTTTCTGAGCTGTGAAACACAGAATCTGTTTTCATCCAACTTGGCCCCAACCCCAGCTTGGGTTCCAGCCCACTGTAGCCTAATGTAACTGATGTTATTTAGGCCTGATTTACTGAACTTGTGTTTCTCCTTCTGGCCTCCTTACCATGGAGGATTGTTCTTATTCAGATTTCTGGATCATAATATTTTTTTTCAGATTAAAAAAAAACCTCATTTGTCTTTGCCCCTTCATAACTTCTCAGTTTATTCAGTGCACTGATCCTTAGTTCCCGCTTCCATCCCCGCTAATACTTTACTGGTGGTTGGTGGTCACCTTCCTCCAGTACCTTCTGTAGGTTACCCCTAATCTTGCAGCTCCTGCCCTAGGCAGTTGAGGTGGTCCCTTGTCCTTTGTTTTGCTCCACAAGAGCTGACATCTTGCTGTAACTTAAAAATTACGTTAATTAACCCACTGTATGTGAATACATATAACATTTTCATGAAAAATAATTATTTCCCATATTGGAAATATTTAGTGAGAGGTGTGGCATTGTTTTACATTTTTCCAAATATCTCTAATGTCTGTTGTAATAGACAGCTGGATCCTCCTATCTGCTTCCACACCCCATCTGTCGCAATATCATCCCATCTCTTCGGTTGTAATATCATCCCATCTCATCTGTTGTATAGCTTCTGGAACATTCCATCATGCTTGTGAAAGAAGAGCAGGAAAAGACAAATAGTGTCTTGTATTATGAAAACGGTTTTAGGGACGCCTGGGTGGCTCACTCGGTTGGGTGTCTAACTCTCGGTTTTGACTGAGGTCATGATGTCACGGTTCGTGGGATCGAGTCTCATGTCAGGTACCACACTGGCAGTGTGGAGATTGCCAGGGTTCTCTCTCTCTGCCCCTCTCCCCCCCTCAATTTGTGCACACACTCTTGTGCTTTATCTCTCTCAAAATAAATAAACATTAAAAAAAGAAAAGAAAAGAAAATGGTTTTGTCCACTTAAGCCATTGAAAGGGCCTCAGAGACCCCCAGAGTTCCCAGCCCACACTCTGAGTACCTGGGCTCTAGAGCGAAGGTCAGTAAACTTTTTCTTAAAGGGCCAGATTCTAAGTGTTTTAGGTTTAACTTTTGGCATCTATTCAACTGTGCTGTATCAGGAAAGCAGCTATAATGTGTGTAACAAATGGATGTGACTGTATCCCCACAAACACTTATTTACAGGAACACGGTCGGTGGAGGGAGGAGGGGGGCTGGATTCGGTCCAATGTGGCCAGCGAGCCAATTCCCGATCTACAGTACCAAGCTTGAAGATGCCCTGAGTTTAGGGCTTGTGCCACAAGAGGGAGGACAGTGGCATCTGACGTATCCTAGCCAGGCGCCTTCTAGAGGAAGAGAAAAGAAATTTCTCAGAGGAGACTCGATCTTGCATTTTAATTACACTAGTTCCCAAGTGGTGAAATCTGCAGCTTCTACCCTCTCCTTAGCCATTCCTTCTCTCATGGCCCAAGCCTCTGCCCCGCAAGTCTGCTGCTCCTCCGCAAACATATGCACATCCAGCTCTGGGGAGGCTGTCCTGGCCGTCACTGCCTCCTCCCCCCACCACCCCGAGTCACGGGCACCTGGGCAGGCAGGGAAGACTAAGCACGTGGGCCAGGCATCCCTCTGACTCCTGAGCCAGGCCACCTTAGTGACATTTTGTCCTCTGTGCTTCCATTTCCTTTTGGAGCCTCTTTCCCACATACCCCTGTTCCCAGGGGACCAAGCTGTCCCCAGACCTGGGTCTTGCCTGCCTCTTACTCCTCTTGCATACCGCATGCCCCTAGACCGGGTGGGAATAAAAAGTCTCCCAGTGAGCAGGTGTTTTCTTCCTGTGCCGCAGAGGCGAAGGCCTGGTTCTGGTTCATTTGTGGATCCAAATCTGTGACCTGACATTTCGCCTGGTTATTCCCGTTCATGCTCCGGTCTTTCCCTTGGCTCCGCCTGCCTCCTCGTGGCCCTTTGGCAACCTGGCCTGTGCTGGAGGCCATGGCTTCCGGCCCCCAGACTGGCCCGGGCATGAAGGAAAGCGGCTTTGCCCGGATAGAGGCTGAGGCAGCCTAAGCGACTTGTACGGATGGAGCTTGTCCTTCCTCGGGCCTCCACCAGCGTCATCGTCCTTTGCTGTCCCTGTCTTCCTTACCAGGGGAAGGCACGTGGAGGAGGGAGGGAAGGGGGGGGTCTGACCCTACTGGGCGAGGGCCGGAGTCTGAGGAGGGTGGGGTGAGGCAGGCTCCAAACCAGTGATCAGAAAGGGACCCCCAGTGTACACCTAAGACCCCCCCTCCCAGTTTCGTCCCCAGAAGAATGCTGTGTGCCACCAGCTTGGGGGAAACGCATCTGCTCCTCCTCCAACCACCTTCACACTCAACCAGGAAGATGCTGCTATTTGGCTTTAAAAATAGAATATTCAAGCTGGACTTTTATGGTCTTGTGGAGAACACTGTGCTCATGCCCGCCCACACCTGGTCCCTGCCCCTGCCTGGCCTCCCCCAGCTGCTCAGAAGCGGTTCTGCACAAGCTCTTCAGGCCCCTCAGTGGAGAGCCGGTAGATTTACGAGTTCAGCCTTGCCGGAGACCTTCTCCCCATGGCTCCCAGCCACAGTTCAGCTGCTCTCCCACATCCCATGCAGCCCGGGGCTGGCACGCTCTGTGTCTTTTTCAGCCTCCACCCCGATCTGCTGAGTCACTCCTCAGCCCCTGTCCCCTGAGGCCCTGGCCAGCCCTGTGGAGGAGCCCGCCGTTCGTCATGTCAGAACCCAGGCCACTGGCCACTCCCGGCCTGCCCAGAACCTCATTTAGTCTCACGGTGGCAACAGTGGCTGTAAGTCTACCTCATTTGGGACTCTAGTTGGCCTGGGCCATCCCCTCCCGCTCTGAGGCACCGATGTTTAACAAAAAGCTGGTTCTGGGCGCCTGGGTGGCCCAGTGGGTTTGGCTTCCAACTTTGGCTCGGGTCATGATCTCCTGTCTCGTGAGTTCGAGCCCCGCGTCAGGCTCTGTGCTGACAGCTTGGATTCTGGAGCCTGCTTCGGATTCTGTGTCTCCCTCTCTCTCTGCCCCTCACTTGCTCACACTCTGTATCTCTAAAATGAATACACGTTAAAAAAAAATTTTTTTTAAGCCGATTCCTCCTCTGTCTAAACTGCAGGTGCCTTTGGGTTTGAAGCTATACCTTATCTGGAAAGGAAAATTACTTTTAGCATGTGTAGACCCTATGATTAGTCCTTTAGTTATTTCTTCAGAGCCACAGAGAAATTCCACTAAAGCTCTAACAGATTTCTGGCACCCCGTAGCAAGGCACAAGGAGTGCCGAGGAGGGCAGGGTCTGCAGGGGAGAGCTGCCTCTGAGGAGGTCCTCTGTAGCCAGATTGTAGAAATACTCCAGAGCCAGTGAGACCTTAGACCAAAATCATAGAAAGAACCCACGGAACCCAGGCCTATCTTGTTTTTCCTGGAGGCTGGGTTTCTAACATAATGGAAAGAGAAGGCTGTAATTATCATCCTCTCGAAAAGATATCTGTTCTCTCTCTAAAGTCCTTCAAGGATATAATCAGGCCCATCAACATCCTTGAGATGCAAGGTGCTGTCTGGTTCACTTCCGGTAAACCTGCCTCTGGGATAAGATCGTATCAAAGTAGGGAGCTGGGACCATCTAAAAGTTTCTGTGGAAACTGGAATGCAAGCAATGTAAGTTGTCTGGCTTAACCTGTAAATATAAGTCCTATCAAGGAAAGAGTGGAAGGGCTCGGGGCCCAGAGGGGGAGGAAACGTAGTAATGAGGGGCAGCTGGAGGGACCATAATGCAGACAAGACTCTTACATTCCCCGCTGCTTCTTCGACATCAGGTAAGGGCTTGTGGAGCGATAATGACAGCTTCGTGACCCTGGCTACGTGACCCTGTCCTGGTTCTATTCACACTCACGTGTCTGGCCCTAGGCTTTCCCATCAGCACCCGCAGCTGCTGCCATCCTAGGCCTTTACCTCTGCACCTGCACAGCCTTGTCATTGTTCTTGCATTCTCCAGAGCGCTTGCGGGAAGCTTAAGGGAGAAGAGCGGGGTGGGGGGTACCCGCGCTCAACTTCCAACCCAGCCAAACCTCTTCCTCTCCCATCTCCCTCACAGCTGCCATGCTAGGAGCTACTGAGGAGTGGCTCCCTGGGTGGCCAGATGAGCATCCGCATCCCCCCACCCTCACCTCCGGTGCTCCTGAGTACCCTCCCATCGCTGAAGGGCCCACAGCTCTGCCTGGTCTGCATGCTAGAACCCGCGAGCTGAACCTGAGTCCGTCTGATCCGAGGGCTGAGAGTCAGAGTGAAGACAGGTGGGGCTGGTAGAGAGTCCAGGTCCCTAAGCTCGAGTTGTAGTCTAGGAGAAAAGGGCAAGTGCGATCCTCATTTGTCACCAAGAGCTGGGGAGAGTGGCTTCGTGGGAAAGAGGGCATGTGCCTCTTCAGAGACTCGGGGCCCAGCCTCTGCCTCCTTTGTTCTTTGGCTTGCGGTGGTGACTGTGGTGGAGTCAAGGCCGGAGCTCCCCAGGCCTCCAGCATAGAGACGGGACCGCATGGGCCACTTCTGCAAGACACGGGGACGGTAAGTGAGTAATATTCGCTATGGCAGCCCCTTGTAGTCCTTGGCACCCCGCACATGACCTTCCTTAGCCCCCCTCCCTGAACCCTCCCACGTGACAGTGGTCTCGGCTCACCGCCACTTATGCCCCCATGTGTTCTCCTGACCACCTGAGCCTGGTGGTCACGAGGAGCTGTTGGAGGAGAGCAAGGGCCTTGAACGGAGCCCCCTGATAGTGGGAGGGAGGTGGGCGGCAGTGGTGGCAGTAGGCAGCCGAACCAGGGCAAGGAGAGGCTCCCCCTGATACTGACCAGCCCTGACCTCTTCTCTTGCCCAGCCACCCGCCCAAGTGCCTCTGGCCACACTTAGCAGTGCTGCTCTGTCCGTGTTAGCTGGGCACCTCCCAAGATTACCCATCCTTCTAGCAGGAGTGTGAACGACCCCCCGAAAACACCAGCTTACTCTGCCCTGAGGTCTGCCTTCCTCTTGGCAGCCTCCCTACCGGAGGGTTGAAGGGGTCCTGCCCCCGTAAACTATCCCATCCCCACAAACTGCCCAAGTTCTAGACACAAACCGGCTTTCATCGGTTCATTCTTCAACAGATTTATCCATTAACTCCACATGCAAGGGCCTTACTTCGATCGTCATTTTACACCTAAGAAACGACTTTGCCACTATCAGTATTCCAGAGCTGCTCCAATTTAGTCTAATATTCTTGCATTTTCTTGCTGTACTTGTGTGAAAGAAAACAGTCTCAAGTTTTCAAGACGTTTCAGAGCTATGATGTTTTGGGGAGAGAGAGAGTGAAAGTATCCTCCATAAAAACGAGGTTGACCCCATCACAGCACTGTATCTATCCTCGGAGGGGAAGCATGACCCTTCCTTTATCACAGTTACACGGTACAACCAGCAATTTCCGGTGCCGTCCCCTTGGCCTGCTCGGTGGCTGTGAGCATGGGCTCCGAGGTCAGACACCGTTGGGTTCAAACTGCATTTAGCCACTTACTCTCCCTGAGATTCGATTTCCTCACCTATAAAGTAATCCTCATTTGGTTCTTGTGTGGATTAAAAGATAGAAATGACCAAAGCGCTAAGGGCAGCTCCTCGCATACCCTTAGCACCCAAATAATGTTATTGCTCTTATTGTGAATATTGTTAATTATACTTTTCATTCATGATCTCATTTTGTACCCTGGAAGGAGAGATAAGCCTCATGTTCTCTTCCCTTTCACAAAGGATAAAACTGAGGCTCAGAAAAGGTAGGTCCTGGTCTGGGAGGTGGTGTGTGCAGGAAGTACCCCCCCCCCAACTCCTCCCCTCCACTTCTGTCCCCTCCCCGACGCCGGCTTGATTGCTTCTAGAATGAGGCTTTCTTAGACCTTGTTCTCCCAGGGGGGACCCCTCCTACAGCAGAAGTCCAGAGGGCACGAGGCATCATATGAAGGGGCGATGTGCCCTGAATCTAGGACTTTCCTGCTGCGGTTTCCTTTCCCAGGCCCCACCCCTGAAACCGCTCCTTTTTCTCCCCTGCCGCGGGGCACCCCAGAGTCTTGGGACCTCTAGAGTGCATTTCCCTCCTCTTGGAGGAAACGCATTTTCATGAAGTCATTTCCAACCGCCGCCCCCACTGCACCCAAGGTCAGCCCAGTCCCAAGAGCCGGCCTTGGCTCCTCTCCCTCCGGGAGAGCGAGCGGGAAGCGGCCGGTCCCAGCGTCAGCGCTGCTCAGGGCAGGCGAGGGGCCTACCTTGAGAGGGTGCAGGTAGCGGAGTCCTCGCAGGAAGGGTGGCCAGGCGGGGCCAGGCAGCTCACGGCCAAGTGTGCGGGTGAGGTGGGCTATGTAGCTGGTGGCCAGCACCAGCACGTCCAGCTTGGAGAGCTTGGTGCCGGGGGGCACGGCGGGCAGAGCGGCCTGCAGGGCCAGGAAGGCCTGGCGCAGCGTCCTTACGCGGCTCCGCTCCCGAGCAGCGTTCTCAGGAGCCGCCTCACTCTGAGGAGAGGACCCCCCCGGGTGAGTGGGTCTGACCGGACCCCCGTCTGCCCCTGATTTCTAAGAACGTTCTAGTGTGAGGGCTTCTTCCGGAGCAGAAATGCGCCGAACGGCAGAGGCCCGAGGGCCTCGCGCGCTCCGCGTCCGCGCTGGGTCCTGCCCTGCTTCGCGGCCGAGGAGATGGAGACAAGGTCTCACTTGGGGTCAGATGGCAGCTCAGAAGCTGCGAGTCCTTACTCTTTCTCGCACTCTAGCCCTTGCTCCACCCACGGCCAAGTCTGAGCCCTGCCGTCGCGGTGCCCGGGGCCCTCAGGGAGCACAGAGCCACCCCTGCTCTGGAGAGCCGATCCTTGCCCAGCCCGCCAAGAGGCAGCTGTAATAAAGAAGGGAAAAGGTCACCAAACTAAGGGCCAAAAACACAGCGGCGGCGCTGGCCCCACGACTGACTGCTGCTCTGGGGCCCTGAGGAATTCACATCCCTCCTCCAGTCCCCGTGAGAAGCGAGGTGGGCCAGCTCTCTGAGCTGCGCTCTGGCTCCGACCAGCCTAGTTAATCCCAACCGCCCAAGCGAGGAGCCTCTGAGTCCAGGGCACCAGTGTCCCCCTCTTGGGCAGGGACGGTACTGCTGAGTGAGGCTTTGCCAGCACAGGTGGCACCTCAGCCCCTCCCACCCCTGCCTCCCCCAGCTCCCTCCACGGGGCTGGGTTCCTTACCCTGCCACGAGCCAGGCTCCCAGCCCTGACCCCTCGGAGGCCCGGGGCAGCTCTGCCCCACCTCTGGTGGCTCCAGTGTGTCTCTTCCCATGGGTCCTGTCTTGTTCTGCTCCTCTTCCTGCCACTGCCTGCGACCAGCGTGGCCTTGGCTGGGCTCTGCCCCCCTCCAGGCATGGCCGGTGCCCTTCTGACCTCCCTCCGTGACATGCCACACCCCTGGAGGGGGGTGCTGCGGCCCCTGGGACAGGAACACAGTGCCTGAGGGAGCCCCTGGGCTCAGGCTAACTGGGCAGGCTGGCCACCCAGCCGGCAGTGTCTATATCTGAGGGAGCTGGCGCCAAGTCAGTCCCGCTCCACTCCTTGCTCTGGGAAAACCGCCCACCCGGCACAGCCCCCGCGAGAAGCCTCCTGCCTGCCTCCCCGGCCAGGGGTGGGGGTACGGGATGCTGGGAGTGGCCAAGCCCTGGGAGGAGGACCCGCTCAAGAAGGCAGGAGGGTGGTGGGAAGGGAGCTCCCTCTCCCTGAGCCTTGCCCGACCCCGCGGTAGTCTTGCGATGGACGGGCATGCAACTCCAGCTTTGAGGCTCAAGCCCGTGGAAGGGGCCCGAACCCCCTCTTCTGCCAGAAGCGTGCCTGCACACATCCCTAAAAGGACCTTTTCCCCCCTTGCCAGTGAACGTGACCTTCCAGCAGCGAGGCACCCATCCCCAGCCCCCAAGGAGGCCTCCTGTTTCCAACCTAGTGCTTTTCCATCCCCTGGAACACCTTCCTCCAGCTCTGCCAGGGAAAAGCTGCCTTGGTCGGTTGGGTTATGCCCTTCGTTTGTGAAGATTTCTTCAAACCCCACAGAGCGCAGAGCCCGCCCGCATCTCCCTGTTTGATAGGGACCCTAACTGATGCATGGCCACACCTGGCTAGTTTCCCCGAAGCTTGGTATGTATAGCTCACCATGTGTCAGGCACAATGCTAAGCACTTTATATGTATTCTCTTATGTTTTCTCAGAACAAACTTCTAAGAACAAAGAGACTCTTATATCCTCATTTTACAGATGGGAAAACAGGTATCAGGAGGTGACACAACTCACCCAGTGTCCAACATCTCGTACGTGATGGGGTTGGGGTGAGAGCCAGGCAACTGGTGGACTTGGAAGGCGGCCCCTCCCCGCGTGGTGTTCTGCCTTGAGTGGGTTACATGTCTGTCCCCATGCCAGATGTGAGGTCTTTGTGCACGTGTGTGTGTTTAAACATTAATTTATTTTATTTGAGAGAGAGACAGAGACAGAGAGCGTGAGCCGGGGAGAGGCAGAGAGAGAGGGAGAGAGAGAATCCCAAGCAGACTGCACTGTCAGATGGGGAGCCCAATGCAGGGCTCCATCCCATGAGCTGCAAGATGATGACCTGAGCCGAAATCAAGAGTCGGACGCTTAACTGACTGAGCCACCCAGGCGCCCCTAGACATGAGATCTTTGAATACAAGGACGAGGGTGTCTGCCGAGCTGCATCATATACTGCATACAGCTAGTCAGGAGGGGTCAGGCTGAAGGAACAGCAAATCTGCCGCAGTAGCCTCTGCCTGCCCTCAAGTTTCAACCTCTGCTTGCAGCAGAATCCTTCTTACATGTCCCTTGTCCTCCAATCTTGAACGCTAGGGGAGACAAAATAAGTAAAGAGAAAGTACAGAAAGGACAGGGAAGCAAAGGTGGCTGTACATCGGGTGAGAGCAAACCCCAGCCGACCAGAGAGGAAGGAAAAAGGGAGGCAAGGAAGAACAACCTGCATTTCCACCAGTGAGCAAGTGATTAAATACATTTTGGTGTATCCATCCTATGGAATGATGTGCAGGAATAAAAAGAAGAAGGCAGACCTCTGCATAGGAACATGAAAAAAAACTCTCCAAGACGCATGGGTAATTACATGACAAACACCCTAACTGTAGATCGGTGTGTGTGATAAAATCCCAACCAGGATCAAAAACACCAAAAAACAAAAGCTATAAGCTTGAAGGTTTATGTGTTTATATGAATGTGTCCAAACTAGACCAAAAAGGTGCACGCTAAGTTGTTTTGTTTGTTTTACTCTAGATGCAGAGAATTAAACCCACTCCTCAATCTGTGGTACCCTGTCGTCTTTGGTACCACAGGGCCTCCCTCCCTCCCTTCTTCCCTCCCTTCCTTCCCCCCTCTCCCCTGTTATCCAGTTCCCACTCTTCTTCCCTATCACCATTGCAAAGTGTACAATGTATACTCTTTTGCTACTCTGTGTGGTGGTTTCAAAATATGTACACAAATTCTTTGATAACTGTTCTCTTCAGAAGGGGGCGCCTAACCCACCTCCCCGTGAGTGTGGGCCAGACTTAGCAACTTGCTCCTAACAAATAAAACATGTGACAACAGTGTCAGTGTGTAACTTCTGAAACTATGTTATTAAAGACCCCATAGCTTCGTCCTGGGAGCACTTGGTTGGCTGGCTCTGGGGGAAGCTGGCTGCTATGTAGCCTGAGGAGAGGCCTAGGCAGCGAGGAAGGGAGCTTCTTGCACACAGCCAGGACTCCCTTGCAACCATGCGAGTGCACTACCTCTGAAACGGACCCACCAGCTCCCATTAAGCTTTCAGATGACTGCAGCCCTGGTAGATAGTTTGAGGGTGGCTCAGGAGTATCCCTGAACCAGAGTCATCCAGCTAAGCTGCTCTAACCCATAGACTTTCTGACCCATGGAAGTCGTGTGAGGTAATAAACCTTTATTGTTATTTAAGTTTGGGGGTAATTTGGCAAACAGCAATAGATAACTAATGCAACTGGTGTTATTCAACCATGCACATTGTTGTATGAATTTTATTTTTTTATTCTTAAAAAAATGTTATAATGTTTACTTATTTTTGAGAGAGAGAGAGACAGAGTGTGAGAGAGGGAGGTGCAGAAAGAGAGAGGGAGACCCAGAATCTGGAGCAGGCTCCAGGCTCTGAGCTGTCCAACCACAGAGCCCAGTGCAGGACTTGAACCCACGAGCTGTGAGAACATGACCTGAGCCAAAGTCAGATGCTTAACTGACTGAGCCACCCAGGCGCCCCAAATGTATGGAAATGACGATACATTTTACATGAGGAGTATATAATACAGTACCATCTAGGTAGTAGGGATTCTATGTTTCACCGTTCCTCCTTCCATTCAATCTTATGGGGTGTGTGTGTGTGTGGTTTTTTTGTTTGTTTGTTTTATAATATTCTTTTAAATATTTTTTTAATTTTTAAAAACAATTTTTTAAATGTTTATTTTTTATGAGAGACAGAGTATGAGTTGGGGGGATGGCAGTGCAGAGAGAGGAGACACAGAATCTGAAGCAGGCTCCGGGCTCTGAGCTGTCAGCACAGAGCCTGAACGCGGGGCTCTAATTCATGAACTGAGATCATGGCCTGAGTCAAAGTTGGATGCTTACTCGACTGAGCCACCCAGGCACCCCTATAATAGTCTTTTTTTTTATTTTATTTTTTTTATTTTGAGAGACAGCATGAGCAGGGGAGAGGCAGAGAGAAAGGGAGAGAATCTCAAGCAGGCTACTCACTGTCAGTGCAGAGTCTGATGTGGGTATTGAACCCACGAACTGTGATATCATGACCTAAGCTGAAACTAAGAGTCAGACACTTAACTGACTGAGCCACCCAGGTGCCTCTTTTGTAATATTCTTAAGAGTTTATTATGAACTAGTTTCACAGGCCAAAAGGAAGTAAAAGGAGCATGTACAGCCTTTCAGAAACAGGGAGGGAACTTGTAAGGGCCAAGATGAGCCTAGGACTTGGGTGTATTCCCAGGGAAGGGGCCCTCACTTCCCGGGGGGAGGTGCCCACATCCACAGAGGGGCATGCGCGTTGGAGTTCCTCATCCAGGAATCCATGGGAGGCCTCATGCCAGGTGGTGGGCCCATCATGCCTGGAGGGGGTGCCCCTTGGCCCATGGGTGGGGGAGGACCCCCACGGTCGACAGCAGCTCTGCATGGGCCATCAGCAGCTCAGCAAATGGCACTCGGGCAATGCCAGTATCTTTGGGAGGCGGTCCCTCTGCTGCCACTGAAACCAGGTTCTCCTCGCAAAGCAGCATCTCTTCTCTTTCTGCTTATATTGAGTTCTTTGGCTTGATCTTGCTGAACTCATCACAGTCACAGAGGATCAAATTCAAAGGCTTGTTGAGTTTTGAAGGTGCGAACAAAGATCCGTTTCTCTTGCGGGAGACACCTCATCCTGTGGTCAATATGCTGCTGCGTCTTGCTGCTGTTGCCCAAAGTCATAAGCAACATAGGTTGTGATGTCTCCGATTCACGCTGGATTCCCCTCGGCACAGGCCTAGACACCCCACCTCCACCCCCCCAGTAACCCACTTGCTACTGGCACTACCAGAAGTCCAATCCTATGTTTTTAAGCCCCTTCTTCTGACTCGCTGCAGGATACCCCACAGTGCACACTCATCCCATTTTGATCGCGCAGAGACACAGGGATGCACATCCAGATTGCTTCCAACTCATCATCATCCCAGAAATGTCATCATGATACCATTGCAGGTGTCCTTGTGCAAGATTAAAAAAAAAAAAATATATGTCTAGGACCAGAATGCTGGGTTAGTTGATTAAGTGTTGCCCGAGTACCATCTGCAATGGCTGCAGAGTCAGCACTGCCCAGGAGCCTACAGCCGCACATGCTCAGCACCGCCTGATATTAACCAGAGTCCCAGTGTCACGGTGGGATAGCTATAAAGGGCTGCTTTAATTTGCCTTTATCTGATAACTGACGAGTTCCAGCATCCTGTGTGTGGGGCTTGGTAGAGATTGGATTTTAGTTTTCTCCATATCGGGAACCAGTTTTATTTTCCCCATATAGGGAGACCGTTATGCCAACATCATCTGCTGAACAGTCCATTCTCTCTTCCTGTTCAGTTGCAGCTCCCACTTTATCATAGAAGTTCCCATATTCGTATAAAAGTCAATTTCTGAATTCTCTATTCTGTTCTCCTGATCTTTTTTGTCTGTGTTTGAGCTAATAGCACACTGCTTTTATTGTTATGACTTTGCAGCATATCTCATTATTTGGTATAATGAAACTCCCCCTCTACACTCTTATTTTTGAAGAAGTATTTAATACTTATTTTGAATAGGTATTTTGGAGGGTTGATTTAGTTATTTCTGGACGCTTATTTTTCCGTATAGATTTTAGAGAAAGCTCTTTGGGTTTCTATAAAACTCAGCTGAAATTTTGATTGGGATTTTGTTGAGTAAATGAGTTAATTGGGGGAATATTGTCACCTTTATACTTTTGAGTCAATCATTCCAAAAACATGAAATGTCTCTCATTTTATTTTTTTAATGTTTATTTTTTGAGACAGAGAGAGACAGAGCCTGAGTGGGTGAGGGGCAGAGAGAGAGAGGGAGACACAGAATCCGAAGCAGGCTCCGAACTCACAAACCGAGAGAGATCATGACCTAGGCTGAAGCTGGACGGACGCTTAACTGACTGAGCCACCCAGGCGCCCCTCTCATTTTATTTTAAACATCTTCTATATCCTTTATTAATTGTATAGTTTACTCCATGAATGTCTGTGTATTTTTGCTTCAGTGAAATAGTTCACAGCTTTATTGAACTAATTAGTTCACAGTTTTTGTTGCTCTTGCAAATGCTCTCATTTTATTTTTTAAATGATGATGGCTGCTATACAGAAATGCTAGCAAATTTTAGTTTTTTATGCTTATTTATTTTTTAATGTTTTATTTATTTTTGAGAGAGAGAGAGAGAGACAGTGTAAGCAAGGGAGGGTCAGAGAGAGAGGGAGATAACGGAATCCGAAGACAGGCTCCAGGATCTGAGCTAGCTGTCAGCACAGAGCCTGACGCAGGGCTCGAACCCATGAACAGTGAGATCATGACCTGAGCCGAAGTCAGACGCTTAGCTGATTAAGCCGCCCAGGTGGCCCTATGCTTATTTACTTTTGAGACAGAGAGAAACAGAGCATGGGTGGGGGAGGGGGGCAGAGAGAGAGGGAGACTCAAGAATCCGAAGCAGGCTCCAGGCTCTGAGCTGTCAGCACAGAACACGATGCAGGGCTCGAACCCACAAACCATGAGATCATGACCTGAGCTGAAGTTGGACATTTAACGAACTGAACCACCCAGGCACCCTGAAATGCTAGCAAATTTTTAAAGTTTGTCTTGAATCCAGCAACCTTGCTGGAGCTTTCTTATTAGTCTTAAAACTCTGTTGCTTCCATTGGTTTTCCTAAGTAGATACAAAATGACAATTTTATTTCTTCCT